AAAAAACTAATAAACTAAAATTGTGAATAAGTATTAATAAAGAGAATAAAAAATGCATACCTACAATCAAGCTAGTGGACAATGTTAATAAATCATTATGAAACAATAAATGATTATAAAACAATAAAACTTAAAGAATAAAACTCAGTAATTGCAAATCATCATAAAATGAACCACGGTTAGAATGAACATTACTTAAGTGATTTAACTTGTCAAACAAGAAATTATTTCTGATATTTAATTCGTTTTAGATTAAATGTTTTTCCAGTGTCATCAATTAGCCTATTAAGAGTTGTTGCAATTGAGACCTCATCTGATCTGCTGAACGGGATTGTTAATGTAATAATAATTATGATTGAATTTTATTGATCTCACACTGGAGAAATTCACCTCTGCATTTAACCCATCCCCTTGGGAAGCAGTGGGCTGCCATTGTGCGGCGCCCGGGGAGCAGTGTGGGGGTTAAGGGTCTTGCTGAGGGGCAATCCCTTGGAGTGGGGCTTGAATTCAGAAACTCTGGCTTCCAAGTGCAATCCCCTAACCACTAGGCCGCCATTCCACCAATGTAAATAATCACCTGCCTCAAGACTCCTGCTGAGGCAGAGAGTCTGCTAAGGGCCACTCTAACACGTGGTGTCACAAGTTTATAGGGCCAGTTCTACAAAGAGAAGTTAAGGATGACTAAAGAAAGAGAAAGAAAGTATTACCTAAAGCTTGGACTTAATGATGGAGCAGGGTGGTAGGCTGACTATGGGGCCATGGTAGCCAGTAAGGATGAGCAGAACGTTGGGGAACTTGCAGATTTGGTAAAAAACAATCATCCTGACTCAAACAGCAATGTTCGGAAGCCTATTGCGTTCACCAAAGAAAAGAAAAATAAGACCACTTATCTTATAATTACGAGATCAGTATCTCGTAATTATGAGATTTTTTTCTCATAATTACGAGATAGGAGTCAGAGTTGGCTTTTTCGCCTTAGCAATTCTAAGGACTTACTGCGAAATGCTGAAAGAGCAAAACTATTTACATCCACATTGAGGAAACTCAGTATTTCCCGGTGTCACATACCTTAAAGGAAATAAAAGCATATTAAATCCGACAACCCGATCATTGTTCACGTTTCATGTAGCGTAGGTCAGCATTGACTGTCCTTCCTGATCTCCTAAGTATGACATATTATGACATATTATCTCATAATTATGACACTTATTTCGTAATTATGAAATAAGTGGTAAATCCCAGTAGGCCCCCGGTTGTAGGAAACAGACCAGAGAAATGTGCCTAACAACTGTAATGTTTTGTCTTCTATTTTTAAGAATTAAAGCACTCATTTACTTTTTGTGCTGCCAGCTTCTCTTGAGCTGCAAGCCTGCTTTTTTTATTCTTCTGTGGCTACATGAACACTTGTTTTTACATATACAACTGTAAGTCATGAACACTCTGAGGGTTACAATGCCCCCTGATGGATGGGTCACATTACCCCAGCTAGCCCAGTTACCTTAGAAGGCTGGAAGGGGGAGCAACAACCAAACCGACTGAACCAATCAACTACCCACTAGACTCAGTAGGTTGAAAAAGGAGGAGCGACGGCCAGTTCTGACCAGTTAAATGAAACAACCAATCCTCATTGAACATGTACTGGTTCAGTTTTTTCCGATCCAATCCGATACAGATACCTGGGCTGAATATGTCATCCCATACCGATGCGATTCAACTGTTAAATAAATGAACCGTATATCTGACATAAACATTGTTTGAAAAAGGTAACAACACATACTGTATATAAATATCATTTACATTATTTGAGAAATAACAGTTCCAAGTAAAGTTCACTTGATTGAACATCTGATGTCCAATATCAGATCACCAATATTCCATCCAGCTAATTGGTCAATATCTGAGCCGATATCTGATCCAGGTGTCTAATCCTCATTGCATAAAAAGGGGGAGGGGACTTAATTCAAATAAGCCCATGAAACAAACAGGAAAGGAAAATTTTGTCAGCAAGGAACATGTGGTGAACTGTGATCAGCCTCAAGTAGGATCAGCAATCAAACACCCAGCAATCATCCACACAAGGAAATTAACTCAGGCAATCAGTCATATGAAACACCCAACGGGTTAAGCAAACTGAGAACACATTACACCTACCTCTAACAAGTTCTCAGTGTTTTCAATAAAAGGGACGTTTTTTTACATTTTGCTGCTCCCTTCAGTCAGGAGATCAATTGCAGCAGTCTGTGGCAGGTCTAGACCCCCTCTGATATTCCACATCAGAGGATATAAGGAAAAAAAGCACCAGTGGTGATGGCAGCAGCTCTGGTAGTGGAAAACAGTGATGCGGAAGCCGTTCAAAGACACAGAATGGAAGGTGTATCAGGCTTTTATCATGGGGAATCTCATCTGCTTAAAGTGGTGGGTAGGTGATAGCCACCATTTTGAGATTTGCTGTTTTAAGAGATTACGCATTAAAATAGTTAAAGTATAGCTTAAACCAGACATGTTGACAGTAAAATAAATCTGAGACAAGGAATTTTGGAACATTATGTGAAGATGGTGGAGTCCGTAATATGACTAACAGATGGCGAAAAAGGCAGCACGACTGGACGAAATCTTCATGGCAGGACAGATGGGGTACAAAACAGCCCTTTCTGAGAGAACTAATTTTAACTACAAAAATAAATCATTTCAGTGTTCTTGGTGTTATTTTTTTTTTTTATTTAAAATATTACAAACAGATCAGTTTTTCTGCATTTAAATTTAAGTTATAAAGATCTACGTAATATTATTTGTAATAAAACAGAATTGGAAGTTGGAATTCAAATTGGTTCCTTCACTCAAATTGAGATTACCCCCCAAAAAACAGATTGATACGTGAATTGACTAGATTATCAATGTATTGATTTAAATATTGTTTAGAACGTGGCCTTAGCTTTCACTGATCACAATTTAAAAAAAAAAAAAAGCTTTTCTGCCTATAGATATCTACAAACAGCATTTACTTCGAGACATTCAATACAACTGTTCATTTATGTACTGTACATGTTTTATTTTTGTAATTTTTAATTGAGACTTCTTTTGTTTTTTACAGGTTTCCTCCTTTAATCTGGCGTATTCCTTGAAACGTAAATTTCATTCTCAAAAGTCGAAGAACATTTGTCAAATGAGTCTTACAGTTTAGCAAAATATAAAACAAAAGCATAAGTTCGGTTTTTTGACATTTATTTCTGTATAAGCAACTCAATTAAGCTCTTAAGTGATATCCAAAGATTTTATTAGGTTGATGGTGGAAAATCAAATGTACACAGAGGCAACAAAGACCACTATTGGATGTGGTGGCAACAACCTCTTACCAAATTAGAGTGATTTGAAATATACTAGTTGTGCACTTAAGAGCTTGGGTAAAACACTGCAGTAAGTCACTTTTGGTGGATTGGACTGATACAGCCAGACTACTGTTTTCTTTATTAACAGACAGCTACTTAGATTAAGTTAGAACACACTTCACAATAATATATTAGTTGTTGTTTTTTTCTGCTACCTGATTGAGGTCGAAAATGGGTACTCCCTGATTGCATTAATAGAGCCAAGTATTAATTTAATGAACATTTTCATTCTTCCTTACATTAAGAGGGACTTTTAGCTTTCCTGTGGAAATGCAGCTCATATGAATAAAGTCATCTGTAAAACAAAGAAACAAGAAAAAGAGACATGGATTTCTACCTTTCAAGCAGTTATATTCAGGAGTTTTATTACTTGGTTTGTTATAAAATATTGGCCAAGTAACATAATCATAGAGACCAAGGAACACAGAAGAGAAGTCAAAGAGAAAGTTGTAAAGCATAAAGCATATTAAGGTTGCAAAACAATATCTCAATAATCAGGGTGGCAGTGAGCAGCGGCGACTCTGAGACAGCACTGCACCTTTCACATGGCCCCTGGTGTCACCAAGCTTATTGCTGGGTTCCAGGGTGCACAAAAATGGACAATATTTGGACTTCTTATTTGATCTAAAAAAAATATTTGCAAAAAAAAGTACTATGTAAGTTAAATTAAAACTCAAAGTTTGATTACAAAGTTACTTTTTTTTTTTCAAGCAAGTTTTGCCCTTGGAGTATGGAGGACCAATTCTGCATATTCAAAAATAAATACAAAAATAAATAAATGCTCAATAAATAAATCAGCATACATTTAATTTCCCCCCCAAAATACAATAAACAAATGAAATGTAGGTAGATATTAAATTATGTGGTGAGACATAAAAAGTATATTTATTTTTTAATTATCTTGCCTCATTTACATAATGAGGCAGAAATGCATACAAAAATGTAAATACGAAAGGCAGAAATAAATAGTGTTGAAGAAATAAAGAGGGTAAAAAAATACAAAGGAAGAATAAAACAAACAAAACTATCATATCATGCACATAAATGACTTCTTAAAAAAATAATTAATATATAAATAAAGTTGAAGATTATAACGGACAATAAATGAATAAGGTAATTATTGCAAAAGGCGAATAAATAAAGAAGCTAATTAAAAGAGATATATACATTTATGTCTCACTGTACAATTTAATTTATACCTACATTTATTTTTTATTGTATTTTTGGGGGCAATTAATTGAATTCTTATTTATTTATAGAGCATTTATTTATTTCTGTATTTATTTTTAAATATGGCAGAGTTGGTCCTCCATATTCCAAAGGCAAAACTTGTAAGTTATCAAAGTTCAAGTTTTAAATTGACTTACATAGTACTCAACTGTTTCTAAGATTAACTGATAAATCGTTCCCACATGATGTCATAGTTGTCAGAGTTGGTCCTCCATTTTGGAGAGGTCATGTGTATTTGATTGGAGGGGCTTGCCCAGGGCACCATTCATGGAAGAAGCGCCACTGAGCCGGCCTGTGTTGAGAGGAGGAGGGTGGGGGGATGGGTTGGACCCAAACAACTGCTGACGTATCCATGCACCAATAGGATGACAGAGAATATTCACACGTTGGACAGTTGGTTTGGATCAAAAATACCACTGCGTCCGGGAAGTCCCAGCGATGATTGGATGCGGAATTGAGGCTGAGGAACCATCAAGCTGCAGCAGAGATGCGCTTTATGGGGTCCAGCAGGGGCTCCAATGGGGACAATACTGCAGTAGCAGCATAGAGCTCTAGTCATTTCCAGTGTTTTTCTATGAGATTAGGTGCTACTTAGCTCAGTCAGTGTTCGGCCGCAGGGCGCTCAGAGGTTGATGCACTGCAGTGGTCCTATTCGCCCTTATGGATCGCGTCCATGGATGTCTTCAAACCAGCTTTGGAGAACAGTTTGAGTCCCAGGGCGTCATTATCTGAAGAAGCAGAGTCGGATGTCTTTCGCTGGTCCAGCACAGCGGAAAGCGAGCCGGCGCAGGATGAGGAGCGCGCCGCGCCTCCGCCAGGCGTCTGGACAGCCGTGTTCGACTATGAGGCCACTGCGGACGATGAGCTCAGCCTGCGCAGGGGAGACCTGGTGGAGGTCCTGTCCAAGGACTCCTTGGTGTCGGGAGACGAGGGCTGGTGGACCGGCATGATAGCAGACCGGGTTGGCATTTTTCCTTCCAATTATGTCAGCAAAAGGAACAGGACAGAGGAAGAGGCAGGCCTGCGGGACAGCTCGGAGCACCCAGTGCCTCCTCTGCACCGTGAGTGTCCTAATGTCAATCATTCAGAAAGTGAACCACTGTGCATCTAAAACACAGATCATAGGTAGAGTGTTTTTTTGTTATTTATTATCTGGCAGTAGGAGGAGGAAGCTAACACTGAGAGTGCTGTGTCACTCCGGTTGGCCTAGTAACAGGCTGGGTAAGCATCCTCAGCTTCAGGACCATTATTCAAAGCACCCCCCCTCAGTAGCATCCCCTGGAAAACCCAAGAGATCATTCTTTTCATGCAATATTCGGTTGGTTTACAGTGTAATTGTTTTGCATAGCCATGGTGGTTTTGCAATACATGTGCAATGGCAGACCAAAGCATTTCACTCTTATAACCTAATTCCTGTTTTTAATTAGGTAGAACAGCATCAAAAAAAAAAAAAAAAAAAAAAAACTTTCATAATTTGTGATTGATCATAACCAGACAGATATCCCATCCCCAGTTTTTCTAAATCTAACAGAAGTCCTATATCAGTTCTGAGATTTTTAGCAATCTAACAGTCTTTTGAACATTTTGGAACACATGCTTGTTAAAAATATACTAAAGGTGCTTAGGCAATTTTTACTCATTGGCACGTTCACATGCTAGTCAGCATAAACATTTCAAAATAAATTAGATCTAGATGAACATATTCTGTTTGGGTGGATTACTCTATCTCAGCCAATTATTCACATGGAGACAGGTGGCCTACTTTTACACACCTGAAATATTCATCAAGGTCAGTCTTATAAGGCGGCATCAGCTCTTGATATAGAGAAAAGCTTTCATTACAGTTTGTACTTTAATCTAAGCTGAAATACATGTGTAATGATATTTAAGTGATGTTTTTGATGAAAGCAAAAACATTTGCTTGTCTGGTTTGTATTTACTGTATGTCAGAATAAACAACTATATTAGAGCTGAGTTATACTAAGCCACTGAATGTTTCTGAAATAATAAACTAATTGGAAAATCTCTATATTTGTGGGATTTAAACTTATAGCTAAGATATTTTGCATTTTAGCATTGACTTTATCAGTTCAGCTTGCTATTTTGATTTTGGCATTACAATGTGGGTTAAGTTGGACAAAGATTTTCTGGACAAAGATGTAAACTGTTGCTCCAACACAGAAGCAGTTTCAACCACAGCTCATTCAACACCTAAAATGTATTGAATGTTAAAAAAAAAAAAAAATGCATTAAAGATAATGTTGAACAGATGATAAATGTTAAAGTCCATTTGTTTCTCATTTAAATTTAAATGTTAGGGGGAAAATACATTTTGAGAAGGGTTGAAATTCTTAGAGTAAACAGCTATACCTTTTAATGGTTAAAATTAAAATGTTAAAAACACAAAATATTGAAACGGATGCATTTTTCCCACGTTTTTGTTTTTCTTCTTTTGGAAAAAAAATAAAATCCACGGCTGCCTTTTGCACCGATGATTTATATATATTTTTACTTTATTTTCACTAAGTAAATTACAATACCACACAAATGTAATTTTAGACCTTGGCTCTTGCTGGTTAGCCTTGTGCACCAATTATTGGCTTAATTTAATCAATACAATTTTAACATACATTCTTTGGTTTTGAAAGGTTGTGTTTCAGTTTTTTTCCGCAACATATGTTTTTTGAAATTGCTTTACTCTTTTCTCTACATGTCACTTTTTATCAATGCATTTTGAGTTTTTTTTTTGTTTTGTTTTGTTTTGTTTGTTTGTTTTCTTTTTAGCCAAAATAGAGTCATTCTAAATCGATCATTACTGAAATTTTAAATTGACCAACCAATCTGCTTAGGTGTAAATTGATGGTGTTAAATCTGCTTAGGTGTAAATTGAATTTCATTTGTTCTAAAAACTATAGTTTTTTTTTTTTTCAATCTTCCCTCTTCAGGTCTAGATTGTATGTTTCTAGATAGTTTTCGGGATAAGCTAGCATATCAGATGCTCATGACTGACTTGTTTTCCCAACATAAATCAGTGTTGTATCTGTCTTTTCTGCAAAGCAGTCTTGGAGATCGATTTCTCGGAGCTCACCCTTGAGGAGATCATCGGAGTTGGTGGTTTTGGAAAAGTCTACCGTGCGGTGTGGCGGGGTTCTGAGGTGGCCGTGAAGGCAGCCCGACGGGACCCCGATGAGGATGCGGCGCAGACTCTGGAGAGCGTGCGACAGGAAGCAAAGCTCTTTGCCATGCTCAATCATCCAAACATCATGGGCCTTCTGGGGGTATGCCTGCAGGAGCCCAACCTGTGCCTGATCATGGAGTATGCTAGAGGAGGGCCTCTGAACCGAGCTCTTGCTGGGAAACGCATCCCCCCTTGTACGTTGGTAAACTGGGCTGTGCAGATTGCACAAGGAATGCATTACCTCCATGACCAGGCTATCGTCCCCATTATACACAGGGACCTCAAGTCCAGCAACAGTAAGATTCTATCATTTTGTGCTTTCATTAAAGTCTCTTTGTTAAAATGTTTGAAGAAATGCATGGGAACAGTGAAAATAACCCATTAATTTTTTTTGTTTAGACACTACTCTGTATTTTTATGATTATAGAATAAATTATTAAAGAAACGTCTATAAAGCATCAGGCAGTTATATCTTCATTTTCTCTCTGGTCTGTATCCTCATCATTTGAAAGTAAAACAATTCTAAAAATGTACTTTGAAAGTACAATATAAATCTAAAAAAATGACACTATAATGCTTGTAATATTATTGTTTTGCTTGAGGATGGTTTTATGAGGTATGTGTCTCAGAACTCAAATCAGCAGGAAAAAGGCGTTGCATGCTTACATGTGGAGTTGATGTAATCTTGCATTTTGCCCAGTTGGATTGTCTAAGTCTCAAGCCTATTACTGAGGATTTACCCAGTGCCCTGCCCCAGCCTCCACATTGGTTGCTCATGCAACGAGTAAAACAAGGCTCCTAGCTGTAATTGGTTGATTCTATGGTGATCACCTCAGCAGCTTCACTTCCAAAGTTACTCTGCCTTAATGTCAATCTGACCTTTGTGGGGAAAGCCCCAAAACTTACTGACCTCATGGAAGTAGGCGGTCAGGCTTACCTCTTTCATTGTTTTCCTTTTCCTTTTAGGTCTGCCATGCCTTAGGAATTACTTTTAGGTTCTAAATGCTTTTTTAGGACCAGGCCTGGGAAAAAACTCATGAGGGATCCTTGGTTTATTTAAATATTAGGGTGACTGCCCCAGACTGTCATGTTGGCTCTAACGTTATGGTTTTTATTTTGTGTTCATGGTTTTGATCACTTTCTCTGTTTTATCATTTTATATATGTTTACCAAATGCTGGTATTTTTTTTACATTTGGGGGTTTCCATATTTGTTGTTTATGCTTATTATGCATTTTTCTGTTGATTTCCCATTACCAGTCATGCTGTTGCTTTCCTAGTTATTCTTTCCTATTTATTGGATAGGTTGTGTTTGGTTCTCCCTGTGTTTCTCCCTTTTTGACTCAGTTTTCATTTTCCCTCAGCCAGAGCAATCATCTAATCAGTAGATTATGTTCACCTGTTTCTCCTCATTTTGCCTATTGCTTGCCCCAGTTTTCTCCATTATTAAAGCATTCAGTTGGTTGTCAGTCATCACTGCCTTCCCTTTTTTAAATTCTGTTCTTTAGTCAATTTATTATTCTATTAAAATCAACAACACCATTCCTCTTCCTATCTTCATGGGAAGCAGCATGTTGGTCCTCTGTGGCCCCTATATGATCAATAGAAACATGTTCCAAGCTGGCCTGAACCAGTTGGATTCACTCACTTAATGAATATTGGCAAAACCAGTTAGAAACTGCATGTAGTTCTTAGCTGTGTCTTAAATGGGTATTAGTTGAATCAGTTCAATTTGTTCAGCTGTTCTAGGGTCTAAATTACTCTCAATTTTATGTAAAGTTGTTTGTAATCCAACCTATTAAGCCAGGTAATCCATACATACTAAAATGTTAAAGCCATTAATTCCACAGATTAATTTATGGGTGAATAATTTTAATGATATAAAAAATACATGCTGAACAAGCTTAAAGAAATGTTACACTTTCAGGTAATGAACCCCCTTCATTCTGCTGACTGGATTAAGAAACTAGCCATTTGCATTGCTTCTGTCAGTCTGCTCTATGATCTATGAGTTCTTCTTAAATCTTTGAAAAGTCTTAAAAAGAGATTGAGGTTCTGCTGACTGAGAGCTGAGCAGCAGAATTAAAGAACCAGTAAAAACCGAGCAGTGGAATAAATCACAAGAGCTTTAAATGACGTAGTTGTACTGTTACAGAAGTAAAAATTTAAAAATATTTGATTTGAAAATGGTGTCAAAGCATGTCTAGCAAAAGCATGACAGTCAATGAAAACTACTGTTGGAGGCAAGAAGTGAAACAGATAATGTAAATGCTTGATATGAGTTTGCCATCAACCAACACATCACAATAGTCAGCTTAATTTTCTTTTAATACACACACACACCTGTACTGTTTATCTCCAGACCACATCTGTCATTCCACATATTGTGTAATAAAAATCTGAGGAGTTGCAATGGAGGGAAGTTAGTGCCTTACCATTAGAACTCTTCTGAACTTTCTATCCATTGTCTGTTCAAGATATTACTTTAATAGTAGCTTGATCTTACATAGAAGTTATTTCTTGTGACTAAATGACAACAAATAAAACCAGTATTCCCTGGATAATAACATGCCAGCTGCAGGTGTAGCTCAATTTAATTAAATTAATTTCACTTTATTTATATAGCTCCAATTCACAACACGTCGCCTTAAGGCACTTTACAGTTCACCACACCAGTTGATTGCATCGACTCATTGACTCGAATGCAATCCCTCACACTAAGCATGCTTGTAGTGACAGTGGAGAGGAAAAAAATCCCTTTTAACAGGAAGAAACCTCCAGCTGAACCAGGCTCAGTGTGAGCGGCCATCTGCCAAGGCCGACTGGGGTTCAAGGAGATAGAGGCAGTCATACAGAAAGAAGCAGAGATACAAAAGAAAACTGTAAAAAAACGGCCCCATTCCAGGAAACACACAGCCTGGCAGACGAGCTCATCCAGACAGTACATCCAGCCAGTCTGAGTCAGAGAAACAGGACTACATTTAAAAAAAAAAAGGCTGATCTCCAACATCTATAAATAAAGGTGTTGATGGAAGCAGCACAGCTAATATTTCTCTCCAATTGGTGTCACAGCCAAACAGGAACAGACAAGGCAAAGCTATTATGAGAAAAAGCAGAGAGAGCATGACGTTAAAGATTAAACTAACAGATTCTGCAGTCGGAGAATAGAGATAGAATGAAGCAGAATGATGAAATAGGGGTCCCTATGTCCTCCAGAAGTCTAAGCCTATAGCAGCATAACTATAGAGATAGCTCAGGATAACCTTAGTCACTCTAACTATAAGTTTTATCAAAAAGGAAAGTTTTAAGCCAACCCTTAAAAGTAGACAGGGTGTCTGCCTCACGGACTAAAACTGGTAGTTGGTTCCACAGGAGAGGAGCCTGATAACTAACAGATCTGCCCCCCATTTACTTTTAGAAATTCTAGGAACCACTAGTAAACCTGCAGATTGAGAGCGAAGTGCTCTGTTAGGAACATAAGGAACAATCAGATCTCTGATATGATGGAGCTTGGTCATTTAAGGCTTTATATGTGAGAAGGAGGATTTTCAATTGTATTTTAGATTTAACATGAAGCCAAAAGCTTCTGTTTTGTCTGAATTCAAGAGCAGAAAGTTAAGAGTAATTCAGGTTTTTATATCTTAAAGACATGCCAATAATCTATGTAACGGGTTAGCTTAAACTGGATTTATAGACAGATATAGCTGAGTATCATCAGCATAACAGTGGAAATTAATCCCATGCTGTCTAATAATTTTACCAGTTGGGAGCATATATATATATATAGTAAAGAGAATTGGTTCTAGCACTGATCCCTGTAGTTCTCCACAGGAAACCTGTGAGCATCACAAAGATTTGTCATTAATGTGAACAAACTGAAATCGATCAGAAAGATACGTTTAACCATTCTAAGACTGTTACTTTAATACCTACAAAATATTTAAGGCTTTCTAAAAGAATAGTATAATCAACTTTATCAAATGCAGTACTGAGATCTAACAGGACAACTACAGATATAAGTCAATTTTCTGAGGCCGTGAGGATATCATTAGTGACATTCACCACAACTGTTTCAGTGCCATGATGAGCTCTAAAGCCAGACTGAAACTCTTCAAAACGTTCATTATGGTTTAAGTGGTTGCACACTTGTTTGGCAACTACTTTCTCAAGAATTTTAGATAAGAATGGAAGACTGGATATAGGTCTATAATTGACCAAGTCATCTGGGTCAAAAGACAGTTTCTTAAGTAAAGGTTTAATTACAGCAACTTTAAACGCCTTTGGTACATATCACTGTAACAAGGACCACATCTAAAATGGAGGACAAGATCAAAGGGAATACTTCCTTAAATAACCTGGTTGGAACTGGATCTAACATACAATTTGATGATGAAAACAATAGTTTTCCTAACTCTGAAAGTTCAACTGGATCAAAGCAGTTTAAACCCAGTTCAGATTCTATGGCTAGCTCAGATGCTGCATCAGCTTCCAGAGATAAACTGATCATAGTTAGAGAAGTGCTAATGATCTTATTTTTAATAAGATCAATCTTATTATTAACAATCATAAAACCAAAAAAAAGAAAAATCATTAATACTAAGAACAGGTGGGATGGACAGTTCTACAGAGCTATGGCTCTGGGTGAGTTTGGCAACTGTATTAAAAAGATATCTAGGATTATTCTTATTCTCCTCTATTAATGAGGAGAAATATGCTGCTCTTACGTTACGAAAGGTCCTCTTATACAGAAGTAAACTATTTTTCCAGACTAAGTAAGATTCCCGTAGGAATGTGGAGCGCGATTTTCTCTCCAGTTTCCTAGCATTTTGCTTCAGAGTTCAGCTTCCTATTTTTCATGTTTTTCTCTTTCAAAGGGGCTGCCTTGTGTAAAGCAGTACACAGAGAACTAGCAACCCCATCAACAAATTCATCCACCTTTATAGGAGAATAAACAAAAATTGTGCCCTCTGCAGCACTGCTCAGTGACACAGAGGAGAGAGAAAGTGAAGCAGATTCTTTGAAATTTATAACTGCACTCTCTGATAATGATCTGCTAAAGTGAAACCTTCTTTTGGGGGAGGAGAACTCTGTTAAAGTAATCCTGAAGGTTATATAAAAAGTATTCAGAGAGGACAGTGTTGTGAGGAAATACTGTTATTCCTTCCCATTCTATGCCATATGTTAGCACAAGGTCCAAAGTATGAAGATGAGAATGTGTTGGACTAATATCATTTTGAACAAAGTCAGTGACATCTAAGATACCATTAAAAGTTGCATTTAAGCTATCACCTTCAATGTCAGCATGGGTGTTAAAATCTCCCACTATGATTATCCTGTCAGTATTTAACAGCAAATCACATAAGAACTCTGAAAACTCATCTAAAATTTCAGAGTAAGGACCTGGTGGACGATAAAAAGTTACAAAAAGAAGAGGTTTTCTTGCTTTGCAATTTGGATGAGGGAAACTAAGGGTTAAATGTTCAAAAGAGCTTTACAAATGAACTGCCTTTGGAGTAATAATCAGTAAGTCAGACTGAAAGATTGTTGCTACTCCTCCTCCTTGCCCAGAATTTCTGGGTATGTGAAAATTTAACTATAAGGAGTTGCCTCATTTATGCTCACATAATCCTCTTGCTGCAGCCAAGTTTCTGTAAGGCAACATAAATCAATGTAATTATCACAAATCAAGTCATTAACTAGCAGACTTCTTGAAGAAATATCTTATGTTAAATTAAATAAACCCAAATTTAATCGTTTTAACTTTTTCCCCAATCTCAGATATTTTTATTTTTATTAGATTATCATGATTTACTCCTTTGGGAATCTTTTCTAATTTATTAGATTTTGGTCGTGAGCAAGACTACCTGGATAGAGTAATGAGTGGGCAACAGTAGAGAAGCTGCAGAGCTAAATATGACTCTGCTTCGTGGTCTGCACCCTGGGTTGTCAGGGTTTTGGAGGACCAATAAATCTGACCAGGTTTCTAGAAAGAAGAGCTGCACCATCCAAAGTGGGATGGATGCTGTCTCTCCGAATCAGATCAGGCTTTCCCCAAAAGGATTGTCAATTATTAATGTGGCCCATGTTGTTTTTAAAGACACCACCTAGAACAGGCATCCCCAACCTCGGTCCTCAAGGCCCACTGTCCTGCAGGTTTTAGAGGTTTCCTTGCTCCAGCACAGCTGATTTTAATTGAAAGCTGATTAACAGGCGTTTGGTCAACTGAAATCACTATAATCAGCTGTGCTAAAGCAGGGAAACCTCTAAAAATTGCAGGACAGCGGGCCTTGAGGACCAGGGTTGGGGATGCCTGACCTAGACAACCAGCAGTTAAATAACGACATGCAGCTAAACATGTCATCACTGGTCAGATCAGGGAGGTGACCAGAGAAAATTACGGAGTCCAACATTGTTTTGGCAAACTTACACAGTGAAGCAACACTAATTATAGTGACCTCCGATCGGCATAACCAGGTGTCATTACATCCAGCTAGAATTAAAATCTCACTGTAGTTAACCTTATCGTTAGCCAGAAGTTTCAGGTAGGATTTGATGTAGCCCATTCTGGTCCCCGGCAAACATTTGATTATGGTCCCTGGTGTCTCTAATGCCACATTTCTGACTATAGAGCTGCCAATTACCAGAGTTGGCTTCTCAGTGGGTGCATCACTGAGCGGGGAAAATCGATTAGAAACGTGGATGGGTTGGTGGTGACCTGTGGGCAGAGATCCACGACTTTGCTTTCTGCTTACCTTTACCCAATACCTGGCTGCTCAAGCACTTTTGAAGGACAACTACGTGGGGGGCCTACTTTAACCCCTGGATGTTCAACAGCCTGAAGCCTGGATTCTAACTCTGACATCCCCGCCTCCAAAGCTAAAAAAAAAAAAATTCTACACTTATTACACATACCATTATCCCTAAAGGAGGCAGAGGAATAACTGAATATCTGACATAGAGAGCAGGAGAGAGGAGAGGGCAGTTAGAATTACTTAGATACAGAGATATCACAGGAAAAAAAGATACCCTGAGCAGCCATGCAGCTAAGCAGTAAAAACAGGAAGTGAACATGATACGTCTCACCAATAACAGCAGTGCCATCCTTTAGTGGCAGGAGGTTCATCAATGAATAAAAATGTCATTTAAAAAATACAGAGTTGCATAATACACAATAATGTAGCCTAATAAAATAAAAAATTCCTTTAAGTCCTGTCAGGTTGAGTGGAGATTTTGGAGGACCCAAATGCAGATACTGAAGCTGATGTAATCATTCAAAGAGCTGACAACTGACACAAAAATCCCAAAATAACAAAATACAGAAAACCAAAAACCAGAAGACGTCAGGGAAAACACACATGAGGATCAAGAATAAATGAGAAACCAGCACTGAGGAACTCCACAGGGAGAGTATATATGAGAGAGAGAACAAAGACTGGGCTAATAAGCTCTCAAGAAGCAGGTCTGGATGGAGGCATCTAGAAGGGGAGCTAGGCGAAGGAGACTGACACAAGGGGGCAACAGAGGGTAAACAAGAAATACATAAGAACTAAAAGAATACAACCAAAACAACTAGATAAACATAAAATGGAAATAAAACGAATGAAAAAACCCATGACAAGTACAATAAATGTAGTAATTTAGTGAAAAAATAGGTATGGATGACACTCTGGTGCACTCCTACATCAAGTCTGGAGCATTCGTAAAATATGTTTGTGCCTGAGAAAAAATTATAGATAGGAGAAAAAAGGTAAATGCAGCATTTTCTCCTAAATCTCTCATATGAACCATTGGAGAATGAGTTTGTTATGAACCCTCAACAGGCAAGAGGCAGGGTATACCCCGAGAGCTCCCGCTTCTCTGTCTGTCTGTCTTTCTTTCTGTCCATACCTTTATTCTTTTTCTATCTATCTATCCATCTATCTTAGTTCATGTGTTGGAACAATGCAGGAAAGGCTGCCAAGCATACACACAGTGACACAGAAACACACAGTCCACAAACACTCACTCATGCCTAAGGGCAGTTTAAAAAACCAATTAACCAAACATTTAAGTTTCTAGATTGTTTAGTAAAATACACTGATAAATCTCCAAAAGTAGAGATCCCAATATCGGATTAAACAAGATCAAAACATTTAAACGTGAGGCTTAAATACAACAACCCAGAAAACCCCAAATACAGCATCACAGCCACATGATCACTAGATGAAGAGGTGCTTGATGCCCTCATGCTCCAGTCTCCATTTGGGGCAGCCAGAGCAAATGGCCTGGCTTTTTTCATCCAAGAAGAGACCTGCAAGCATGTGTTTAGAAGGAGCCATGCTTTAGCTGATCACACCAGGAATAGGGGGTTGCTTTCCACTGCCTATACAGCAAACTGTACAATTGCCGTTTTGTGTGAGAGTTCAGGCTGTAAAAGCCAGAGCTGAATATATTAGCATTGATCAAGGGGATGGTTTTCATCTCTGCATTGACTGCTTTGTTGTTTTAGCTTATAGTTGCTTGTTTTTTACTCTTTCTTCTTCTCTTCTCTTCTTTTATTCTTCTAATCCTTTCATCCTGGCCTCCCACCAACCACACCCTTTTTGTTTGCCCCTCTTTTTTCTTTTGCGTTTCCACTTGCATTGTGCTGAATCATGGGACTCATGCCGCCCCCTCTCCCAACATCTGAAAATCTGATTGGTCATCGCCTGAAACCTTCCACCTTATCTGCCTCCCCTTCCACCAATCTGCACGCATCCCCTCCTTCCCACAACCTCCAACCTCACCCCATTTCTCCAACTCAAACCCCCACCCCTACATTGCTTCATTGTTGCCTCAGTCCTGATCCTTGAGAGGGTGGATATGGAGGACCTCAGCAACAAGACTCTGAAGATAACCGACTTTGGGTTGGCTCGGGAGTGGCACCGCACCACCAAGATGAGCGCGGCTGGGACCTACGCCTGGATGGCTCCTGAGGTCATCCGCTCATCCACGTTCTCCAAGGGTAGCGACGTGTGGAGGTGGGCGGAGGAAGGGGCAGCTCTGCAGAGAAACAAGCTGCAGAGAGCTTTTAAGAATGAACAGTAAACACTGAAAAAAGAATCCCTGAAATTATATTTTGAATTCACACTTCTAAAATTACATTTGACCTTATTACACATGTATACACAGTACACTTTTCTACTTTAGCCTTACTATTCTAAAGCCCTTTTATACCAGAGGTATCAAAAACATGCAATTTTCTAATAAACATATATTTAAAAAAAATGCAATATTCTAATGAGACAAATAAAATGTATTATTTTAGTTAAAAATAAATTCTCACATTTGCGAAGGTTGAAAAGACAAACATTATAAATTTTACATATTTTTACATTTTTGTGGTTAAACCGATCGTTTCAAATGCGACCAAGCCACTTGGTTTTGTGGTCCTAATTCAGATACATATTTGATTTTTTCAAAGGCGACCTGCTCTGAATGGCCAGGTCACATTCATCTGATTTGTATGCCATTAATACTCAAAAAAGGTCAATATTCAGCTTCCTGCTATGCAGATGCGGGAAGAAAAACAACAACCACGGTGGACAATCACAAGGAAAGCAGTTGTATTTTCAACCTTTGATTTTTTTGTTAATGCACTGGCTGAGGATGGGAGAGAAATGAAAGATTGCAAGATGTGCTCCAGCAATTCCATCGATGTATACTTCAGTAATCACAGAGCACGCTCGCTTGTGACATTGTGTCCTCTATTGTGCATGCAGGAAACCTCAGTTGTGTGAAAGCAGTTAACACAGGAGATCACATACAGGTTCCATATATTTAGAAATGTAAATGACTATGTAAATAAATCAGATTTAAAAAAAAAATCTGAATTCAGAATTTAGACCAGCAGTATGAATGTGGCCTAATAGTTCATGGACCACTCTTTTAATACCCTAAAATTTACAGTTTCTAATTTGACTCAAACAAAAGGTAAATGTGTATTTTATACCTTATGATGCAAGCATTTAGAGAAGGGTTGTGATAAGATTATTAGATTTTGTTTATAAGAGAATAAACTGTAATAGGCCATTCCTTTAGTCAGTGCACCTATTATCTACTGTATCCTTTTAAGTGCAGCTTCCATCTGTCTAAAGAGTAACCTCTCACAAATGACTTTTTTTCCCCCAACACTTGCAACTACAAATATATCTTTAATGTTTTTAGGTACAGTCCTGCTGATGTTGTTGTATAACTACTAATGTGATCACACCTCTTACTCTGACCAAGTGTTGTCTAAATCTTTATAAAAATAACAAATGGATAACTACTAAATTAGAAGTTCAAATAGATTACCTAAAAACAGAGTAATCCTCCAGCATGATGCAGCCACCACCATGTTTATTGCTGGGGAAAGTGTGCTTGTAGGGCATGAGACCAATGGATATTAAATGGTAGGGGGTTCCAGTGATTGTTCTGTTCTTATTCTTATGCATCTTTGCTTTTTATATCAAGACTTAAAAGATAAATATTTCTTGGTCAAAGTTTAATGTGATGGATGTTTTTTATTTTTCTTCTTTTTGTTTTAAATAACCTATTTTAATCTGTTTCAAGTCTTATAGCTTACATCAAATAGGTTTGGGTGTAGGTTTGCTAATACTTCTACTGTAACTCTTCTACTAAATGGTCACCCAATTTTCTATGTGTGAAATGTACCACTATTAATAATTGAGAGCATTTAAATATGTTTTATTAGCAGGGCGTTCATGTTTTTGACTCAATACGTGCTGATTTTTCGTTTCTTGCAAATATGTTTGATGTGATAGTAAGTTATTTTAACTGTAAAGAAAATGCACTGCTTTGTATGTTCTCAGATCTTAACCTATTTAATCCTGACCTTTGGTATTAACAGGAGTAGGGTGCAGAATATTGCCCATCCGATCCTATTTTGACATTTATTGGATCGATACTATTAGAATACCAGATATACTTATTAAAGCCTTTTCCACCAGCAACATATTATATAACTACAATTTTCATAGCATTAAAAAATTATCTGTGCATGTGTAGGTGTACTGATTGCCTATTTTTTTTCTTCTCCTTTGATTTCAGTTATGGCGTGCTGTTATGGGAGCTGCTGACCGGAGAGGTTCCTTTTCGAAGTATTGATGCTCTTGCTGTAGCCTATGGAGTGGCAATGAACAAACTAGCTTTGCCCATTCCCTCCACTTGCCCTGAGCCTTTTGCACGTATAATGGAGAGTAAGTGGAGAAAAAAAAATACTTTCTAACTTTATCCAGTAGTGGCCCCTGTAGTGCATTTTTAAAGCATGAAATAAAGCAATAAGAATACTTTGTTTCACCAACTGTTGACTTATTAATCCTGTATACGGTACCCTAAATTGTTCTTTTTGTCTATCTTTTTGCCCCAGACTGCTGGAGTCCAGATCCTCACTCGCGGCCACTGTTCACAACTATTCTGGACCAGCTCACTGCTATTGAAGAATCTGGCTTTTTTGAAATGCCTGCAGAGTCCTTCCATTCCCTGCAGAATGACTGGAAATTGGAGATACAGGAAATGTTCGATCAGCTTCGGACCAAGGAGAAGGTGAAGATTGTAGAGATAGATTTAAAAAAAAAATAAAAAAAATCGTCTATGCCATTTCTAAAATTCTATTCATATAGCATTGTAACAGATCAGAAAACATAGTGGGTCAAACTAAAAACAGGTCAAAACACTGTCGATTTGACATAAAAGGGAAAAAAACTAGAAATAAAACATCATGCAGCTCAACAATAGTTAAAAGCCAATTTGAATAAATGAGTCTCCAGATGTTTATTTAAAGAATCAAAGGAATCAAGATGATGGAGGCAAGGCTTTCAACAATCCAGAGGTTTCAGCCCTTAAGAAATTAGTCCCCTCTAATTTTAAAATATGTTTTTGGAATCAATAAAAGCTTTGGAAAGAAGCCAATAGCCAATAGAAAGTGATTAATACTTGAGAAGTCTTGTGTGGTGGTTAGTAATGCAGCAGCATTATGTACCAACAAGGTCCATCTTATATAAAAACTGAATACATATGTATATAATAACTGAAAAGCCTTTATGATCATCTGTTTCTATTGGATCCACAAATATGAATATACAATGACATGCATAATCAAATGAAAAAAGAACTTTGGTGTTAGGTTCGATAGATTAGTCCAGCGACATATTGTTAGGTTTCATTTGTTTGTTCTGAGTATATCTAATAACTAGGTTATCTGTCTAATCAAAGTTCACCTGCATGTAGGTGCAGGTGAACTTGTAGGTGACTTTCAAATCAGACTTTTCAAATCAGTACAGCTACATATCATCAGCATAGACATAAAACAATTTAAAGGTCTGCCTGATTATTTTGCCCAGCGGTGAAATATATTAGAAATAAGAATAGGTCCCAGGGCAGAGCCTTGTGGGACCTAATAGAGCAGGCTCTTGGATTTTGATATGATAAAGTTTTCACAAATAAAATCCATAGCTGATAAACTGACTATATCTCTAATCCTGGTGTGATTAATATAATTAACATATTTTTAATTCCCTCCTCGTCTGGCATCTATCAGGAGCTCCGATCGTGGGAGGAAGAGCTGACTCAAGCCGCCCTGCAGCAGAAGTGCCAAGAGGAGGCATTAAGGAAACGTGAGCAGGAGCTCGCGGAAAGGGAGATTCACATTGTCGAGCGGGAGCTAAACATCATCATCCATCAGCTCTACCAGGAGAAGCCACATGTGGAGAGCAGGCAGGGCAAATTCCGCCGCAACCGCCTTAAACTTAAAGATGGGAACAGGATCAGCCTACCCTCAGGTATGAACGGCTGTCAACCACCAATGTACAAAGGAAGCGAAAAAAATAAAATAAAAAAATAAAAACAAACACCTGCAAAAATAGCTGTTGTTTTTTTAAAAGGATTACATGAAATAGAAGTGGATTATAAGTTTTTTCATGTTTCATCTACTAACTTCAGTGTGTTTTAAATTGGGTTTTACCAAACGAGAAGTTTCCCCACAGCATAATAATGCTACTGCTATGTTGTGCTATGGAGATTGTATTTTTAGGTAGATGTGCATAGTGCATTAATTAAACACACTCTTTAATTAATGCACTATTTCTTATACAAAAGCTAAAAGTGATATTTGGAATGTTGCTAATACAGAAGTGTTTAGACTTGATTACACAGTTTTAGTGTCTTTAAAAGAATTCATACTGCTTGAACTTTTCACCTTTCTTCACATTCATATTCTGGCAACCAGTTAAGGTTTTTTTCCAATGATTACCTTATAGATTTTCAGCACAAAATCACAGTGTTGGCATCTCCATCCCATGATCATCGGAGGAATCTCCTCAGCAGTGGTTCCAGCCCGCCAACCAGCCCACTCATGCTGCCTCGCCTTCGAGCCATCCAGCGTAGGCAAAAGTCTCATTTTTTAAGCATATTTTGTTTTGTTTTTTTCTTGACTCACAGTTTTATTTGGCTATTTATTGATCTCTGAACATATATTTAGAAAAGATCCATGTTTCAGTTACTCCAGGAAAGGACCGCACAGAGATCGAGAGAAAGGGGTCAAGGAAGAAGGGTCGTTCCCGTGGGAATGGAATATACAGGGAGCACAGTGCAGATGCATGGTGAGAGATTTTTAAGTCAGTTTAATATGGTCTGTGTGGAAATATAAAATGTGTGTTTTATTTAATAACCCAATGGCTGAGTTATAATGATGAAATAAAAAAAAAGCTGTGAAAAAAAAAGATTTCCTCATTCTTCACAGTGTGAAACCTCCCCATGAGGGCAGCAGGCAGCGGTCCTGCAGTGCTCCGAACCTCCGCAGATCCCCAAGGCACAGTCCAGCAGTGCCTGGAGTACCAAGCCTACTGGAGACAGGTGAGCTCGACCATTTTAGATGGGGTTTTTTTCACTTCAGAAATTACACTTTTGCCATTATTAACACACATTATTAACAACTACTTAACTAGGAAGAAAAAATTGCAGTTTAAAAAAAAGTTTAATTTTAAGTTAACATAACAATCAAGTGTGGTTTTTATGGTGGATCAAATCACAGTCTATTTTTGGGGGATTCAAAATCATATGAAATATATATCCTGCCCAAATACTTACACTCTGTGAAAGTATTCATGTATTTTTTTGTAACATTATAACCATATTTCCTGTTTGTTTGCTTTTGAGACTTTGTGATAGACTAACAGAAAGGGACACATAATAGTGATCTTGATATACTACAATAAAATATTTAAAAGCTTAAAAATATGTCTTCACCAGAAAACTCAAAACTGTCGAAATCAGCTTTATGGGCCAAAGTGAGCACACATAAGAAATATTGCATTGGTTTGAACTAGAGTTAGTTAGTACTCAGCACTAGTAGTTGAGTAAAAGTATTGAACTCATGAACTCAACTACATGTAAACGTTGCTCAGTAAATAATCTTAGTCAAGTTAAAGTACTTAGTATTCAGAAGATACAATGTTTTAATATCAGCACATTTCTAGAGTAATTTTACACAACCTCCTGATGTGTTGATGGGTAGCCACTCGGCTACCAATTGTACACCATCTGTAAAAAAGTTCAACATAAAAATGGCAAAAAAAATAAGGACAAATTATTTGATTATTATTTTTATTTAAAAACACACCAAAAAGAAAACAGGAGAGTCTTTATTCTCCTCACACTTTGACTATGGAATAAAGGTTTACGATTGAATCTATTACCATAAAGAAACTACAGCTTTGCTTTGAGAACTCATCTTACTGAACTTGGCCACATTGCAACAACTAACGCCACAGCTAACAATTATATCTGCCCTGATTCTTGCAGATCTGTAAAAGAGTGGTGCCCAAATTCAGTCCTCAAGGGCTGCTATCTTACATGTTTTAGTTCTTCTTCCTGGAGGTAGCTACTTCCTCCTTAGCATGTCAAAGTTCTGCATATGGCTGCTAATGAGTTACCATTTGGCCCAAGTGTGTTAAAAAAGAGAGACGGACAACTAAAACATCCAGAATACCTATTCTTAAGGATGTACTTTGAACTTTGGCTGTGTGCAAACATCGACCCTAACCCCTAAATCCCTCAATCACTAACCGGCCACTAAGTAGTGGCCGCTCACACTACAGACAGCAAGCCGCTGTGACAACAAATCCTATTATGCTTTGCGAGGAGAGCTCTTGCAAAGCATTCCAGGATATATCTGCTCATCTAGTGACCATGGATGATCACTATTTTTCAAGGTGGATCGTAGGAGATTTTAAGTCCACTACTGTTTCATCCTCTAGACATTCGGACACTCATTTAAAATGGTGTAATCACTATATGGTGATTAGGGCAGATGTTTGAATATAGCATAGTGTGGCCAATTCAAGAAAGAAATATAGGAACAGAGGAGTACACAGCTAAGCTGGGCCAAAAGGAACGAGTAATGACAAGCTTCCTTGAAATATAGTAGAGTAGAAAGTGGGGGGGCGGGTTCAATTATGCCAGATGTTGATTTTCCAACTACGCTGGTTATTTAGTTTATTGGTTACCAATAATAACTTACTAAAATACTCTGAATCAAGAGTGCAGCGGTGAATACATGTACATCATGTTTCAAATTTCTTTTAGAAAAAACTGTTGAAAAACATGTTTTTTTTTCTTCTGTGCTCCTGAATAATGTACTGTAATATGCAATGTTGGACAATCTCATAAAATCCCAACATGTAATGTTACATGTTTGATTTTTCACAGTTTAAGGGATATCAATGCCTTTGTGATGCTGTTTTTCAGAAAATGAAGACTGCTGCTTCACTACGGAGCCGGGTGCAGCTCCTGGTCAGTCCTACCTCTGCATTCCCTTCCAAAAAGACACCCACGGAGCGTCTTCCATCGAAACTGAGGGGGATGAGTACTGCCTCCGCAGCCAGGCCCCCAGCACCCCGCCATGCAGAAAGAGTCCAGTAGGAGGTCGGCGTTCTGAGCTGGTCCTGCTTGGATGTGGAGCTCTGTTGGCAGCTGTTGGACTGGGATGCAACCTGCTAACTTTTGCCCAGCCTGAGGAGAGCATCAAATCCAGATGGGAGGGTTTCTTCCACAGAACAGCTGGCCAAAGGCGTAGCACTAGCTCTCCGACTCGCAGACTGTTCCAGAGGGAAAGTCCTTTGAAGACTTTGGCCCCCTCCTTACCTGAACGAGGTTTACCATCCTCATATACGCTCCTGTCCTTATCGTCTATTTCTGACTCTAACTCCACCCATTCATTGCTGCGCTCTGACAGCGACGAACTGTTGATCTGCCGTCCTTCGTCGGGATCATCCCGGCCTCCTGTGCCTCCTCCGGTCTCACAGCGCAAGACGGTCCAGACTCCAGTGAATTCACTGGTCAACATTCACGTGGAGAGCTTCAAGCGGAACCCCCGCCAGTCGCTAACACCCACACATGTCCCCTGTATCCCACCTTCCTCTCGGGGCCTCCGTAGAACCCCATCAGATGGAGCCATCAAGAAGAACGGTCCTCCCAGCTCACTGGAGACTTTGCCAGAGAAGAAAGCTTTAGAGAACACAGGTAAAGGCTTCATATCCTGATTTTATTGTTTTTCTGAACTGGAAATATACTAAAATATATCATTTCATCAATAAAAAGTTTACTTTTTCACATTTATAATGTTGAAGCTGAAGCAGGTAATAAAGTCACGAGATATTTCTCAAAATCAGATTTCCTTATACATGGTCAGTAATTATTCTCAGCTTCTTTTTCCTGTTTATTTGTAGCAGGTGGCTTCAGGGGTTTAAAAGAAGAAAATCAAGAGGTTCCGCGGCTTCCTGACCCCAACGTGGTATTCCCCCCCACCCCTCGCCGTCGCTGTGCTCCAGAACGCCCTAAAACCTTGGACTTTGTGGCCCGGCCTCGCCCTTCACCACGGCCACGGTGCGATGTGTTCTGGGGAGACTCTCGGCTTAGGGGCAATGGACACACCCTGGGCAGTGGCGAGTCCCCCGCTTACACCTCCAGTACAGAGACACCGCCCACTGTAGAGTTTGGTAGAGACTCCACAGATCTGCCAACTCCAATGGAGGCTCCAACTCCCTTCACTCCCAGCAGGAATGCAAACCTGTTGGATAAGTGGGATGAGGGTCAGAGTCGGGATGGAACAGTCCCCCTTTGCAGACCAGACAGCAGCCTTCCCAAAGACTCACCTTATAATCCAGAGTTCTGGTCCTGACTCAGTCCAACACATGAACAGGGTGGACCTGCTGTTAGCTGTAAAACTCTCACCAATCTATGTTAGTTTTAATTAAAATGGTACACATTCTCCAATCTACATCATTGGAACAAAATTTCAATGACGTCTTTTCTTTCTTCTATTCATTATTTTTTCTAAATAGTAACCCAAATCTGCATTAAAAAAAAAAAAGATCTGAGCCAGGTCTGGCTTTAAAGAAAGATATTAATTCAGAACCCCTTCCTATTACCTTCATCAGCTCTAGATTCTTGTTATTTTCTTCAGAAAATCTCTGATGTTATCACAAAGCTTTACACACCTATCTCCAGCTTGCGTTTGGATTGTGCATTAAAGTGCACTTTTAAAAATTCTCATGAATGTAAAACATTTTTTATGGCCAGAAAGTAAACAGTAACTCTACTTGAGCCTCTCGGCTCCATCTGTTTCCCACTCGTGCTCTGGCAGCGGATGGGTTCCTGTTTTGCACCAAGTTCCCTTCCTCACTGTTCCCTTCATAAACCACAGACAGAACTGCTGCTGTTTGATATGAGTCTGCTTGTTTTTCCAATGTTTTTCCAAGTTTGCAACTACAGAAACCACAGAAAATCTCCTCAGTTGTAATTTTTACTTTTTTATTTATTAATGATCCTTTGAGAAATTGAGAAATTACTATGGAAGTTATAATTGTTGGAAGGAGACAAAAGGAAATGTTTAGTTTTTTGGCTGGGGGGGGGACACCCACATAGGTCCCAGATGATGTATGGGAGTTTTTTTTTATCATCTTAATGTTGTTTTTTATTTATTTGGTGTCTTATTTTTTTATCCTGTCTGCCTTGATTTTTACACAATTGCTTTATCTGAATGTTTCCGGAATTTTCAGCCTTTGCACAGAGCAGTGTCGTTTGATTTTAAGCTGCACTTTCTTAATTTAAGTTTTTTTTATTGTCTATTACCTGGGGCTTGACAACCTCTGAATCATTTTTAAGGGAGAGTAGCTGAAGAGCTCTTTGATTTTTTTTAAACCATAAGAAATAATTCAGTTTGAATTTATTGGATATAAAATAAAAAAATGTTATTTTTTACAGTGTCTTTGCCAAGAAATGTAGCTGCTCAGTGAGCACTTATCACAACACAGTTTCTCTTGTTTAAGTGGTGTTAACTTGTAAAGAATCCAGTCATTTTATGGGGCATCTCATGAACATCTATTTCACTTTTGTTCAGTTTAAATAAAACACTGGATTTAAAAATACTAAAAGCACCGATGCATTTAAGTTTTAAAAAAAGGGAAGCGTGGGTTTATTATTTATTTTTGTATACACTTCAATTTTTATTTTATTGTTTATTTATTTAATTATTTATTTATGACATGCAACACAAATGTTATAAAAGAGAGCTGAAACAGTTCCTATTTTTCAGTTGTAATGTTTCTTTTGTGTCTAAATGAAGCAGATGAATGAATTCTTACTCATGTCTGAAACTAACCCTGACCCCCTCCCCTTTCAGAACTGTGAAAAAATAGATAATGTCTGAAGCACCATCCATATATGTTTGATCTACAGGTGAAATGATGCTAAGCTCTTGGATGAAATGTGAGCACAAATAAGCTGAAAATACTGTTTACTAATATTGTTTGTGGGGGGGTGACCATTACTGCTATTGAGTGACTTGTATTTGCACTGGAACACACTGACTTGAGTAAAATCATAAGAAAAACAAGAAAACAATTTCTTTGCTTTCTTATTTCACTTTAGATGTGAACTGTGAGGGATTATACCAAATGTTTCAGCTAAAGAAAAAAATTAGTTATCAGCAGTTTATATGGAAGATAGAGCAACAAGGTCAAGAGAGCAGCACTAGTACTTTGAGGAAAAAGAGTAATGATTATTGATTTTTTCAGCCATCATGGAATGGCCATTCGCAAAGTTAACTAATAGTGCCAAAGTTAGTAGGCCATCAATGCTCCAAATTTGGTACTCAATTAAAAGAAAATTACTCTGTTTTAGCAGACAGAGAATGAATGTTATCAGCTCTAGATCATTTAATCTAGAATATGTTAATAAATAGATGAGTTTTACGAATTGCATTCTTTTGAAGTTGTGTTTCACAGATCCCATTCTCTTTACTTCTGGGGGCGGGCTTTCTTCTGTAGTGATGAGTAGAGAGGCATTTCTATTGGTCTGCATGGATGTTAGTAACAACATCATATTGGTCAATGTGCACGTCCAGAGTGAAGTAAGATAATGAGATCTGTGAAACATAATTTAAACAAAAATATACAGAAAATTAAAAATATTAAGTCTGTACAAAATATTTGAGAAAATAAAAGTCTAAAATATAAAGCTGTAAAAATAAAACATTAAAAGTTTAAAAAGAAGAAAAAAAAATATGAGAAAAAAAATTAAAACAAAATGAACTAAAAGCAAAAAAATCTGAAAAAAAAACAAAGCAAAATTGCCTTAATTAAAAACTTTTTTTGATAAAAACTTTTTTTTTTGACTGCATTTTTTTCCAATTTTAACTCACAAAACCTGTTATTTTTTTGTTTCCATTTACAAAATTGGCTCTTTGTTTTCGACAATAATCGCACAAAAATGTTCCCATCATGTTAGAAAATTTAGCCAACCATAATATTTAGTAAAGGTGTTTCAGATTTGGAACCACTAGACAAGATCCTTAACCGATCTATTGAAATAGCCTTTTGGCCTAAACCAGAAGCTGTGGATCATATTTAAATTTAAGCGTTATCAGGAGCTAGCAGTCAGTTAAACCTATAGTTCTTATAAATGTGATAAGGAGATGCTCTCATTCAAACTATTTACCAGCAATTGGAGCTGTTCCATGTATTTAGTTACTCAACTAGGTTAGTACAAGAACTTCTTCCTTTCTTACTACAAAATAAAAGTCTCAAACATAGATGCGTCAGTTTAAAGCACACCCTTTACTTTCTAGGACTTATTAAACCATTACTATAGGTTGATCTATTTATATTTCCAACTCAATACACATTTGCAACTATTTTTGGGCAGATGACCATCATCAACACTTAATTTTATCTAATCAAAAGAAAGAGTTGATGTTCATGATCGATGTATTATATCAAGGCTTAATTGGACAACTATAAATAATAAGATATATAGTAATATAGCTAGTATATATATTTAATAACAAGATATAAAATGATAAAAACTAAAAGAGAACACAGTAGTGTTTCAATAATTAAACAAGTTTATTACATATATACTGTTACCATACACATCAGGAATTTTTCAAATACATTAAATGCTGTGAATGAAGTGCTTTGTTTTGGCATTAATAGAGACACGCAGCTTTTTTTTAAATGAGATTTTGCACAGAAGGCTATTTACATCTTGTGATATGTATCTTGTATCATAGCACAACTAGCGGCAATGTGCTTTTGATGCTCTTGTGTTTTACAGCACCTTAACATCAGCTATAATCAGGTAGACAAACTCTGTAATTTTTTTTCTAGATCATCAAATAAAAAGGGGAAAAAAGTGAAGGTGGTTGTTACTCACTCATAAAAAGGCATTTAACCACGCTTGTTGTGCGAGTGCAGGTGCTGTCTAACAGTGACGCTCGCCTGCAGACATGCAGCACAGTGGAACTTGTCGCTCCAGTCTCTGGTCACAGGCGTCAGCCTGCATGTGCAACGTTTGGACTGGCAGTGCATCGGTTTAAAAAGAGCTGAAGCATAATGAGTAGTCAAATAGATTTGTCAATTTTGGTAAGATTTCTTTTCCAGAAGAAAATAAAAAAAAACAAAAAACGGTCTACACAACAGAGTTCATAAACTTAAAACGGTTTGCTAGGCAAAGCAAAAGCTAAACAAATATGAATTCACACAAAGACCTGTGACAGGTGGTGTTTAAGGTCTGAGTGGCACACAGTGGGGCTGCAACTCATGACAAGTGAGCTGCCTTATGGAGCAAGCACTTAGGTTGCCTCTTTCTTTTCCTTTTGGGCATTTCTGCGTATCTTCATCTCTGTCAGCTGGATGTAGCGGATAGCGTTCGTGTCTGTAAAACAATCACAGGAAAACATTGATTTATTTCCTGTTAAGATGGGATTCAAAACAGTTCCCTTGAATTAAACTTCTTACTACGCTAAGCAGATAAAATCTCCTTCATGTCACGCTATTAAAAGCACATCTGGAAAGAAGTCAACAGAACGGTTGAAACCTTAAATGAAAAACATCTGGGGAGTTTCTTTAGACATGCGTTTTAGTCACACCTGACCGTACCTTGCACAGAGGCAGGCAGCCAATCCGTTATACTCATTATAAAATTGTATTATAAAGGACATATGATGATAAATCTGAAAAGATATTTAGTTGTTGTAGTTTTTCTGGGGTTTTTTTTTTTATTTTTTATTTTTTTTTTACCAGATTAACTGGTCCTGGAGCCTTAATATAGCTTGCCTGACAAGAGTCAAAATATAGGATGACTTTTCTTCAATCTCAAAATCATGATAAAGATTTAGACAAACTATTTATAAATCTAAAAAAAGTGAAAATACTTGAAAAAAAAAAAGGGGGATTTAAGGAGGACCTGAGGTGGTGCACCACCTAAGATCTTGCTGATAAACAAGCATTACAAATGGAACATAAAAAGCTTTGGGCTGAAATTGTTCCTGAAATCACTGAAGTAAAGGGAAATTTCCTATAATCAATAAAAAATTCTAATTAAACAATCACACATACACAGCCTGACCGATCAGCCGTCAGAAAAAAAATTGTAATTTTTGAAGATGGACCAACGCCCAAAATGGCTTAAACACTTCAGACTTCTTTGGGAAATCTCTTTACACACCCAAAAGTGATCTACATAATGTACCGGTATATCTGATTACAAGGAGGACTATTCAATAGTTACTCAAATATTTAACAGCTGCAACCTTAATGAGTGTTGTTGGGAACAGAAGCGATGTAACAGAAGAGTAAAACAGAGTAAAAATCAGTAAAATAGAGCTCACTTAAACTGCTTTATGTTTCTACACAGGTTGATTATTATTGCCATTCTGATTCCTACCTTTACTTTCTGTCTGAAACAGTCTGGATTAAGGAGTCAAATGTAAGATGTGTCCCTATTGTTTCGTGCTAAGTAAAGTCACAGACCATAGACATAATAGATGCCTCATGAACTGTTGGTTACACTAGCTGTGGGGACGCCATTTTGGAAAATGTCTTAATGTCTTAATGTCACCGTGTCTTAATTATACGTCATAAAACCAAGGAAAAACGAAAGATTTTTAGCCTTGCCAACATTTTTTTCAAAATAAACATTGCAAAACACCATTGAACCCCATTTGAAATTTGGACTGAATAAGTTGAAGCATGTTTGTTCCACTAAGGTTTTAGTGGGCAGCCAAAAGTGGCCAAATGCATTTTTCCACTCATATAAGGGAATCTGGCCTGACAAATATGCCGATTTACATTTTTGGAGACCTTCTTCATAAGGCAATGCCTTTGCTCTTAATATTTAGCCATTGTTTCATTGAAATCTACCAATAATATCACCAAACTGAAAAGAAAATAAGAATAACAGAGCAAGCTTTTGTAATGCATGCCAGTTACATCACCTGAAATGGGAGCAAAATGACCTCTGACCCCTCCTTGTAAAGGTCTGAGCCTCTAGTTTCCAATGATACTGGCCATTGGGGTGTGTGGCTAAAGATGAATACCTGCTGTTGCATTACTCCCGCAGAGTCAGACATGTCAGGTGGAATTTTAAGTCTCATTTTATTTGTTTACACAGCTATAAAAGAAAAAAAAATATTTGTGGAAAAAATAATTTTTAAAATTTTTTTAGAAATTTAAAGTTACATTTGAATTTAAAATTAAAGCACCATTTTCAAAAGCATGTGGATGAAACACCATCTGACTACAGATAGATCGACATGAGCAGGTGTCAGATGGACCTGGTACCAGGCCCACCAGGCTTAAGGGGTTTTAATAAATGAGTTGTTAATATCAATCTATATATGTTCATATCTATGTATACCTGCATCAAGTAATGTATTCATGGTAACTTGTGATTAGAATATTACTGTTAGATAGATAAATTTCTTATTTGATATATCAGAACAAATAAATATGAAGGCACTTTTACACCTGACTTCAAAAACATCAGGGCCTCCTTAATAGTAGAAAGTGTGTTTCATATCAGGTACTCAGGATGGATTAAGGCAAACCGGAGATGCACAATCTGATATCTATATCGGTATCAGTCCAGATATTAACAAAAAATGCCAACTCAAGTATCCAAGAAAATGGGCCCGATCCATAGGTGTAAAGGTATTTGATTTATTTCTATGTATGCTAATCTTGAGCTTCCCTCTGGGATACAGTTATACAAGATAAAGTAATAAAGCTGCAAGTGGCCTGGGATGCCCCTCGCAGCTCAGCCTTGTTTCACAGGTTTAAACATTTGAATCATTCTGTTTAAGCCTTGTTGAAAAGTATTGTTTGGATTTCATTTGTTTATATTAATATATTTTCAATGTATTATTATTTTTGGCAGATTCAAGTTATTCATGTGGCCATTGTGAGTTTTTATTTTATCAAACTAGAGGTACCAACAATTTTATCCATGTGAGTACTATGGAAAATCTGGATGTTTAAAACCTACGAGGCCTGAAATGTAATCTTTCAAATGTGACTTTTTAGGAAGCTGGTGAGGAATAACTTGCCAAGAACAACCCAAATAGTTAGGATCAATTATAACAGAGCCAGATTTTCTATAAAAAGTTCTATATCACATCTTTAATGGTGATTTCTCTTCCCTTTAACAGCTGGTCCTAGCATGGTTTTCCCTCCATTTCATGCAATGTTCTCCTGTGTTTCATCCTTGCATGTACAGTATTTACCCTCTTGTGCCTTGTATGCCAAACATATAAAGCATTTTTGCAGGACACTACCTGCTATAAAAAACCCAACATAATCCTTTCAGAAAAATGCATTAGGGAGATAACTGGATTCTGATATAATGAATGGAGAATCATGATTTCCATGAAAATATTATAGCAGTATTTTCATTAAGGAATTTGTACACTTTTTATTTCAGATCAGAAATCTTATGGCTTAATTTTTTTAAGATGCTTTTTTAAGATGTTTTTTTTTGTTTTGTTTTTTCAGATATGTAAGGTAACCTACTCATTGTCACCCTATTCACACTTAAACCTGCTGCCATTTCCCTGACAATGTTAAATAGACAAATAAATATGGATTTTAATAAATATAGTGGGGCCAATTCCCAACTGGGTAACAGATATTTAAAGATTTTCTAACAAAGGTGACCCTATGCTCTGCTGCCATGGGGGGTGAGACTTAGGGCACATATAAAAACTGCCATTGCAGCTGCTGTGTGGGATTCTGGCTGCTGACCTGATGGCTCCTGCTTGTGTGACTCCTTCAGATAGTACAGAGCCTTCTGGTAGTCTCCTAGGTGGTAGTAGGCCACTCCTGATCGGTAGAGGGCTTTGAAGTTCTTCCCTTCCTTGAGAAGAACTTTCAGACAGTATTCCTTCACTCGTTCATAGTTCACCAGCTCCATTTGCAAAAGACAAGCTAGAATGAGACATTAAAGACATTAAACGATCACAATTGCATTTAATTATTTGTGTCTTTTGCAGGTAAATTCCTGCAAGGCCTAAATTATCACCAGTTATTTTGTTAATAATTTGAGAAAACAAATAAGGCATTCTAGTCAAAACAAAAAAAAAAAAAAAAAAAAAAAGGGGGTTATTAATGATTTTTTTCATAATCCCTTTGTGTAAAGCAACAGTAAGCATTGGAATGTGCAAATAAAGCATCTCTTACCAGCCAGGCTGTTGTAACACTCCAGCTCTGCATTCTCCATCGCCCCCTTCTGCTCATCTGTCAGCGTGCTGGACTTGCTGATGGTGGGTAGGAGAGTAGAGGTGGGCTTGGAGCTGGGGTCCGGGTCCCCCAGCACCCTGCACAGCCCTTTGATCTCCAGCAGAGCGCGGTGGTACTTGCCGATCGCCTCTCTGTATTTCTTATCCTTGTAACACTGGGTGCCTTGGCTCTTAAAGTCGAGCGCCCGCCTCACGACGTCAGCTGGCTCGTTGTGAGATGGTTGTTTGAGCATCGCCCCACCATGATGCCTCTGCAGCTGAAGCTGCTGCTGCTGCTGCTGCTGCTGATTTCTGCTTTCTTTGCTCCGGCTGCCGCTGTTGGGGGGGTGAGCGCGCTGCTGGAGCCTCGGGGAGACGCAGCCGCTGCTGGTGGTCAGGCTGCCTCTGCCGCTCTCCACCCTTCCTTCGTTTCCAGCCTGGATTGCGCTCATCTTGGACATTTTTAGCTAGTGATTTAGACTGCTTTGTAGTAAAATAAAAAAAGGCTGGTGTGGAGTGGATTTTTTTTTTTTTACCACATCTTTCGCCTCGCCTGTGTCGCAGCTACGTCCTCTCTGTGCGCAACCGTGCGACGCGCGCTCCTCTGTTGTAATCGGCTGCCTTGTTTTCAGTTCAAACGAGCCTATTGGTCTATAAATTAAGAAATCATTTTGATTCTGCCAGTGAACACTTTGGTTTCACCCAAGGAAGGATTATCATGCATTTAGAAAATTCCACCTTCTTTTATCTATCAGCTTCTTTCATGCATGAGATGTGTGGACATAAATATAATGAATTGGACTCCTTTCAAATTAAAGTTACATGCCTTCTATAATTAAGCTTGACCTGATGAATTCCCAAACTAATTGGACAGTCCGAAACCTAAGCATTTTGACTTAAAATGCCCATAAACAGAATAGATGTTATTTTCAAAATCTCTGTCTCCCAACTAATAATTTTAATAAATTCATTTGTTGATATTAAATGAAATTTCTAAGCTTTATGAGATGCGAGAAGTCAAAAATACCCTTCTTTTTGTATTTAAATATTAAGACATGGTTTAGATATAATCCAACACAGTTTTTAGGAAAGCTAGCTATCAGATAAAAAAATTGAACTTATGTTACTTAAATACTGAATCAGATTTTAAAAATCCTAAAATGAGTTTTCTAGACATTTGCTTATTTACATCCTGAAGTTGAAGCTATAATTGTAGATGGGAAGGTGTATTTATATACACAAAAATTTACATATCTCCTTAATTGTAGGTTAGTACCTTTTTCTAAATGGGATAACCTCAAAATGACTAAAAGGGAAGGGTTGAACTGTGAAAGGTTCAGAATACCAAAAGCTTTATGGACCCTAAGTTCTCAGCATCGCCATTCGTAAAATGATTATCACAGACAAAAGTATGAGTTGACATAACATAAATTTTTGTTGATTCTGGAACATTATGGATGAGTAAATCTAATATAGGGTTTAAGAGAGAGAGAATTTTAAAGTTAAAATTAGGTCCAAAGGTAATTGAACAAAGTATTGCTTTGGTCTTTTAGCAAGGGTGTAGTATTTTGTTCGTTTTTAGCATCATTATTTATATATATTTCTGAAATATTTAATTTCTCCAATACATTTTTTAAGGGAACTCTCATAAAAAACAAAAATAACTTAAAAATAGTTTGTCAATTTAAAAACATTTATAATGTAAAGTATTTTATCAAAACTAAAATCATTTATATATATATAT